GCATATGTCTGTCAAACCTACGTTCATTCACTCGCATAGTAGACTTGTAAGACTTACTTTTTTTCTTCCCGGTTTCTTGAGATGAAAGCTCTCAAATAACTTTTTTGACAGAAATAGGATTAAAAAATATAAATATAACTTTTGCTTTAACATAAATTACCCTTACTTAGACACACAGATCTCATCTGCTGTTACATTTTACAAATTGTATAACCTTTTTTATGATCATGAAGGCCCAAATTGCTTTTTAAGCCTTACACATGAAATGGTCTCAACAAATGTCAGCTTATATTACATCAGTGCATTGATTGACAGTAGATTGCTGCCTTGTAATGAAATCGTTAATAAAGAGTTTGAGAATCTAAATAAATAAATAATCCATTTATCAGTCACTTTATGATCACAAATTAAAACCATTTTCATTTTTTATTATTATTTCTATTAGTAATTGTTAAACTTATTGTTTTGCATTTTTATTTATTATTTTGATTCATTTTTATTGTTTTGATTGTACAATCAAAGTCTAGTGTGGATAAATGTATCCACTTTTTTAAAATTTATCATTGAAATGATGCATCAGTTCTTCAATTCATTTATTTATTTCTCAGTTGACGTTTTTCTTAATTACTCAATTGATTATTGAATGTCACATTTTGGCCCCCATATATGATGTAAAACTGCTGTGGCATGTCTAAATATATATTTTTTAACTCTCTGACACAGCTAAACTCTTGTGTATAGATGCCCTATTGCCCACAGTGTGATAAACTTCACACTCAACAATTATATTTAAATGTATTTATTATTAATACATTCTTGCATGACTGTGGTGGACTGAAATCAAGGTTGAGCTCTAATTTGAGTGCAGTCCACTCTTGCTGACAGTAGTGGTGTGTGAGTTAGTGGGACGCATAGACTATTGGCAGAGCACTGATAAGATTCAGTGCTGAAGTGGCGGGCGGCTGTGTGTGGGTGAGCTGATACTGTTCAGGATTGTTGACTTGTACTCCATAGACTTATTCACGGCTTTATGACAAACTTTTCAGCTGAGCACCACCTCCTCGTCGCCCTCATTTTTACCCCAGCAGATTCGTGCCCTCTGGAACCTTTGTGTGCGTATTTCCACCATTCTGATGATCCAGCCACACTTTATCAGCCAATTGGTGTTAAGATGTGGTGACACTAGGCTTTTAGCATGCAAAATTGCTTCTGCCCCGACTAAGAACACCAGTGACAGTCAATTTGTGACTTTTACATCCTCTATTGGTCAAAAACATCTTTTGGCTTTTCACAAAAATAACTTTTTTCATGTAATTTAGTTTCTGCCCTGGAAATATCTGGATTTTCTTTCTCCTTTGAGAATTTGAATTAAGAAATAAGAGAGTCTAACAGCTGTTCAGTTGAAAGACGGCCAGGTCCAGGTTGCGTTTATGTTCTTATTGCTTTCCTCTCTGCTGTCCTGTGGTGCCTAAAGCAACATTTGTGCTGTGAAAAGTTGCAGATTTTAATTGAGTTTTCAATTGGTAAAAGATTCTGTTCTGCTGCTTATGAACTCAGCGGTTCTTAGCTGTCACAGGCGGCTCAACTGAAACTAGATTACACCGGATTTAAAGGCTATAGCTCCGCAGCACTGGAGGAAGCCCAAGTTTGCTGGTGTGAACAAACAAGCATCTCAAATTTTATTGTTTTTCCCAAACTTTTACAAGTAGAGAGATGCACCGATTGACCGGCCAGTGATCGGAATCGGCCAATTTGTCGCATGACCGGCCCGGATCGGTGACCGGCCGGTCAGTCTCACGTCCCTAAACTTTCCCTTAAAATAATGTAAATATATTTTTGGTAGCACAATCTGATAGGTAGCACGTTTCGTCGGTACACCGGCAATGACGTCACAGCCACGCGCACACTCACAGTCGAGTGTAAACATGTCGTTTTGCGCGAGAATGATTCTAATTTTAATTGCATTCAGTGTATACGGCGACTGATAATGTATTTATGTCGTGCCAGATGAGGCGTGCACAGCCTGAGTGAGTGTGTGAGAGAGACTGCACACACAAAGTAACTCACAGAAATTTATAGATGCATACTGCGGTAGAAAAAAAAAAGTTATTTACAAAATATGATTTAGGTAAGCAACATTATACGGCCATGATGTTTCCCCGAATATCAATTTAATGAATCGAGTAGGGTTGGGTATCGTTTGAATTTAATCGATTCCGATTCCGATTCTGCTTATCGATTCCGATTCTTATCGATTCCTAGTTTCGATTCCAATAAGATAAAAAATCCAATATAAAAAAAATTAAGACAAACATTTATTCTGTCTTTTTAATCAGCAGCCTACAGAACACTGCAAGAGGAATTTTGCCTATGCTTTAAAAAAAAAATACTACAGCAAAAACAACTAGATTAATATAAATTTAAAATATTAAAGTGTTAAAGCCAAGTAAATAGTCAGTAATAAGATAGGAACAAACAAATCAATTAGCAATATCATACATAAATACAACTGAACAAAATTTCAGGTACAGAAACTGTAATTAAAAGTTTAAAAACACTGCATAGTTTTCTTTTCATAAATAAAATATAGATTAATCAATTAAAGTTATTAAATATATGCAGTCAAGATTAGTGAATGATTTTCTTTTGTTCTTTGATTAACATTAATGACAGCCAGCGCGTTTATTAGGCTGCTGTCTCTTTAACACCGAACGCACACAGATCTAAAAATACTGTACATGTGTGTTTTCTTTCTCATCTGTTTACGCTCACATAAGACAAAAATGGCTGTGTTTATGATGATATACTGACGTAGTTTTCTGCATATTGGTCGACAAATATGAAAGAAGTCAGTTTCGGCCCGGAACAACCTTTTCTACAGTGGAAATACACGGAACGGTTCGAGAACGGACACAAACCGGGAACCCGTACCACGACCTCTGTTCTCTGTGCTTGCGCTTGCGCTTCGTATGCGCTGCACGCAAACAGGGCGCAAGTTCTTTCCGTTCCTGCACTTAAATAGTTTTTAATCACATTAAAATGCGAACGCAGGAATCGTTAAGCAGAATCGAAATGCACGCGTCTTATCGAATACCCGGTTCTTGGAAATTTGGAACCGGTTCTAAAATGGAAACGGTTTTCGATACCCAACCCTAGAATCGAGTGAGTCAATGATTCAGTGGCCCATTCATAAGGACAGTCACTTGCCTCGTTTCTGAATGAATCAGCTGTTTGAATGAATCGGTTGAATGAATGAATAAATGACTCACTCATTAAAACAGACATTTGCCGCCACCTACTGGTGGTTTAGTCATATTTAAAAGTATCATTGCATTTTTTCAACATTTATTTGTACAATATGTATGTTTTCGCAGCTAGAGGGCACGTATTCAAATCAAACAAAGAAACAAAGGCGTAGTTTGATGACGCCGTGACTGAGTGTGGAATCATGGGAGTTGTCGTCTTCATCCTCACAGCCGATGCAATCGACGGGACTCGGGCAGAAATCATGTTCATGAGCTAATGATTTATTAACGTCGTAGTAAGAAGCAGGGTGAGGCTGAAAGCCATTGAAGCGAAACGAGGCCGCTGAACGAGCGTGACACACGGCTCAAAAGCAGTGTAGTTTTTATTATGCCAGTGAGTATGTGGGGTAAAGCAGCGCTGTTTTATCATTCTAGATACATTTGAAAGTTCTGTTATAATGCTACTCTGTGCGGTTGTCACCTGTCTAATAAAACGCATAACATATTAAAGCGTCTTTGGTGTTTCCATGTTTTCTACAAAACAAAACCGGAAATCGAGGGTGTATATAAATATATAACACTGTTCTAGTGGTTTTTGGATATTTTAATAAAAAAATCTTATATATTGTGCCTTTAATCTTATAAAATTATTTATGCATTTGAAATTTTGGATTATAAATGCATTTATGGCACCTCAGCTTCATCAAACTGTCTGTGTAAATGCATCTAATGGCACTTCAGATGCAGCTTCTGTTTCCTCAGCAGTGGTAATATAGAGTTTGTTGATACTAATTTCATTTGAATGGTAACAACTCTACAGTTTCTTATTATTCTAACTGAATTAATTAAAACAAAGTAAGAATTTGATGTGAAAGATGACACATTTAATAAGGTTAGGGGAAAAAATTTCCATTTATAAACCTAGTGGGAAATGACATCTGTTTTGTTACATACAGCAACTAATTTTAAGTTAACTATTTCTTCCTCTTTCCAGTCACAGAGCACTTTATTTTGAGAGTTGTTTAAGTGAGAGAAAATCTGTTACTTAGTCCAGATTGGGGGAATTGTAATGTTTAATTTCTTTTATTATGTAAATAATTTTGCATTGAAATTTGCATAGGTTTTTGTTTGTATATGCTGTCAATTATAGTTCTTAGAAAGAAAATCTGAATCGGCAAAAATCGGTATTGGCAGGTCACACTAGAGGTCTGCACGGGCTTTAAAGTGAAGCTCGAACCCGGCCCGTACCCGG